GTTCTCATTTGCAGCCCACACACTGACACAGCATCACTTTTTTGTTCTCACACGTTCACAGTCAGTTACAAAGCTAACAGCAATTACATGGCAGCTAAAAATTAGTGTACTTCTTCTCAGCAAGGTGCTATGCACAGTGCCTCGCGTATATTTTAAAGCTAATATTTCTTTTTTTCAGAACTTCTGCATACAGCAGAATTGATTTCTGATAGGTCCCCATTCTCTGAATGCCCACATAAAACTAATAACTGTCATAATAAACAAGTAGGATTTGTTATCAGAAATGTGATAGGCAGTATTGTTCACCGAATGAATGATAAATACCTGGAACAAAATAAGAGTGTAGTTTTACAACAGTTTGTATTTTTGAGGAAGATGGACAAATGTATTTCCCACTGAATCCTTTGGTGCTCTGTGAAGTTTGCCTTTCTACATGAAGAATGGATCTGTATCTATTTCCCACATGCTTCTAAGAATGATGTAACATCTGAAATCAATTTTTTAGTAACTATCTCATGAAGGCTATCACTGCTGACAAAACAAGGCAACTGCAAAGGAAGAATTTTAAGGACAAATTTTTTGCAGTTGCATAGAGCTACAGGCTTTGAAGAAACAGTAAAATCCCATGTAGTATAAAGTAATAAAACATTTAGCTTACCAACAGAGTAGAAAATCATGGGTAAGAGTAAGCCACTGCTGCATTCGATGGCTATTGAGAGGTGCCTCTACTTGTTGCCAAGTGTTTTTACCTTTTGTGTGTACAAGCCCTTTGGTTCTGCATGGCTGATCGAGGAAGAGGCTTCAGAAGCTGAAATCTGGCTCACTGTCAATGGAGCACTTTTGAATCTAAGCACTGAATCAGGAAGAGTGCAGCTTCTCTCCCACATTAGTCCCTCTTGCAGAGTGAGAGCAACCGCAATCAGTTTACTTCATGGCTCAAAGGGGCATGTGTTCTGGCCTAAAATTTAATCAACATAAAATCATTTTTTTTCTTTATGAAAAGCTTGTTCCAGGTATTATAAATATTACTCATGTATAATGGCTCGGCACTCTAGTAAAGAACTGGTTTTGTTAGTATCCACAAAATTCAAGCTGCTTATTAAAGTCATCCCACTCCTACTTGGCGGCCCCAAGGCTTTCCAGTTCTAGCTGAAAGATTTGCAAGGTGTCACTGTGTTGTCAGATCATGTCACGATCACCATTTTGCAAAACAGATACCGTTACACCGAAAGGGTAGACACTGCTTTTGGAGCTGTGCTCTTTCTTCTGGTTTGAGCAGAAGTAACAATCTTGAAGAAACAAGTATCTAAAACCAGGGCTAATGGTAGAGCTGGGAAAGGGCCAGGTCCCCATGGGCCACCCGCTCACAATGGTCACAACTATCACACAAGAAGCAATTACCTACTTTTTAAAACAAGTACAGTTTGTAAAACTCAGAAAAATCTCACCCTGCTATACCAAAACTAAAAAAGAAAAACAAAACTCAGCAAACGAAACAGAAGATGGAGCCAGAGAGCAACTTTTAAAGCAGAGTGCCAGAGAAGCTCTGGAATTGGTTTCAGCTCACCAGCTTCAAACCAGACTGCAGAGGAGAAACTGCAGAAAATAGCCAAGGCTCTGGTGTGACATGAGAGCATGGAAGGCAGCTCCATGGTATGTGAGCACACCATTTCAAAACAGTACAGTGCCCTTTCCCAGAGCTCCTCTGTCCTCTTCCAGCACAGGAATATGGAGGCCAGTCTTGCAAGCAGGCAGGTAGGCTGCAAAAGGTAGCAAAAGAGTGAAAGTCAATCTGCACCACCACCACCAACAACAACAAAAAAAAAATCACAAAGATGCAGTATTAACTTGATAGCAATTAAATGTTTTTTTCACCTTGTTTTTCAGCCTATGTTACTGGCAGATAGATTCTTACAGGAAAGTCCAAATACTCCAAGCATACCGTGGCAGTACCTGCAAAAAATTACATACCTGACAAGCATCATTTTCAATTCTGTGCTTTTCAAGAATGTTGAAAAAGAAGTATATAAGCTTGCTTTTCATGGTTTCTTATTTAGTTGCAAGATATAATCTTAGAAATACTTTTAATCCATGCATTTTAGCTACAAAGCTATGATAGAAAATGGAAGGAAAAAAAAAACCTGCTAAGAAGTATTTGTGAGATTTCTTTTCTTGAGTATAGCTATTCTAACTTGAAGTCTTTTTGTTCCTTAGTTTGTGTAGCAGTAAGAAGACTGTTTCTAAAATGCAAATCATTTTTGGATGGATTATGTGTGACAACTGTAGATCTGGAAAAACACTCAGATCTTGGTGATTTCATCAATATATTTTCCATCATTATGACCATAGCCTGTCAGGTGCAACACAGGAGTATGCTACAGGCTCCTGGCTTACTCTGAGATCTTCTTATTTTTTCACTGCTTTCCTTCCTTCCCTCCACAGCTTTCAAGCATCACTTTTTGTTCTCTGAGCCATTCAAACTTTGCATGGAAGAATATCTCAAGCATATTTCCCTACCTGATCAAGGAGGTTAGAGCACTGACCTCAGATTTGGACACCACATAAAGTGATATACTAGACCTCAGGACACCATTAATTTTCTGTTATTCAAGTGCCTTTCTAGTCTTGCTGAGGAAGTCACCATTAAAGCTAATCCTTAAAATAAGTCCTGAAAATTTTTATCTTGACTGTCTGTAAGCCCACCGGAGCATCTCTTGCATTGTGGATTTGGCTTCTTTTTTGTTGTTTTTTCAATGGGTCAATTATTGCCAAAAAACAAATTTTTATATAAAGCATAGATTTTGTTTGTAATAACATGATGAAAGCCAAGTGCATTTGGCTTTCATCATATTACTGGCTTTCATCCAAATGCATGTACTTAGTAGCTGCCCCTGAAACCGGCATTCAGCAGGTGCACCCCAACAACTGTGTCACAGCCACACCTTTTTGGGAAAAGGAGATTCAAACAAAATGTGCATCTCTGCTTTCAGTGTTTTCCTCCAGAAAAATATCTTAAATCTTGAAGGAGAAGTGTTGTCTGAAAATGTTTAAAGATACAGGAGAGGCAAGGTAAATAGGACAATGTAACACCTTAATAGGCAAATGACTAAAAAAAAAAAAAATCAACAGCTAATTTGAAAGATGCATAGGAGTTACTTTTGGTCCTGTGAACCATGTCTCTGCTTATTATGACAGTCCTTTCCCCTTTACTCACTTCCTTAGGAGTCTGTTGGACAAAAAGGATTGTATGACTCCCTGCAGCCTTCAGTATGCTGCCTTCCGCATACAGTCAGCCCCTGTTTATCTGTTAACAGTGCATACTGCCAAGTCTTGAATACAAACAAACTGCAAAGGGAGCAGCCCTTGCCAGATTTCTTCAGACTTCAATTTTAAAAGACATTTTTAAGATATATATCTATTCTGAAAATTGTCCATTTTATCAACATCTTCAAAAAATACCTCTCACATCTCATCAAGTAGCAAGGCAAACATTTCTGGCTGTAGGTCCAGCCTAGAACTTGAGGTCATCCATAGTAGTAGGAGGGCTGGTCTGCATCTCTGCTTCTCTGGTAGTAGTTCCCCTCCTATGAACTGTGAGAAAGGGATGTTATCTGATGTGATCATACATCCTCTGGGAAATAGCTTGAGAGTGCAGATTCATTTCCTGCAAGCCATTATCTGTTGCCTACCAGACCTTTCCCCCCACAGTACACTTGTGAACTCCACGTAGTGTAGTCAAGCAGAGCTTCAGTGCCTCTCCTCCTGCAGGTACTGCTTCCTTGTTTAGCATAACACATTCAGTTTACTAAACATTAGCTGGAGCCTAGTTTTCAGTTCTATAAATCTTGACACAACAAATACATCCCTATCCACTGAATTCATAAGCCTCCTCAGTTTTTCTACTGAGAATCAGGAGCACTGTTTTGTTGGCTTGGATTATTATGATTTTTTTTTCATTAGAGAACTGCCACTATTCACCTTACTGTGGGTAAATTGAATATTATACTTGAAATCATAGAGTGGCTCAAGCTGGAAGGGACCTAAAGATCATCCAGTTCCAGCCTCCTGCCATGGGCAGTGCCAGCCAGCAGCTCAGGCTGCCCAGGGCCCCATCCAACATGGCCTTGAGTGATGGGGTACCCATGACTTCTCTGGGCAGCCAGGGCCTCTTTTAGTTTAAAGCCCTTCCTTATTCTTCTATCATTATCATAGCGTGTAAAAATTTGCTCCCCCTCCTCACGTGCTCACTGGATTGCTAGAAGGAAATAATGCTTTCCAGCCTGTAGATCGCTTCTGATGCAAGACTACAGCTCAGACACCTCACACTGTCTTCCAGAGTCCTCCAGATTGATCACAGAATCACAGAATTGCCAGGGTTGGAAGGGACCTCAAGGATCATGAATCTCCAACCCCCCTGCCACACACAGGGCCACCAACCATTCCACCTAATGCTAGACCAGGCTGCCCAGGGCCCCATCCAATCTGGCCTTGAACACCTCCAGGGACGGGGCATCCACAACCTCCCTGGGCAGCCTGTTCCAGTACCTCACCACTCTCTCCGTAAAGAATTTCCCCCTGACGTCCATTGATGACCAAAGTTTCCCCGTGGTATACACCCTAAGTGCTTTTTTAAGCACAGAGCTTTGGATCCTCTTGGACCTCATCAAATCCAAAGGGAAACACGAGTGAGCAGCAGCTTGCTGAAATCAGCTGCTGTAGTCCTGTCGCGTTTCCCTTAGGGACGAACTCTGAAGGTGAATTTCTGCTTCCATCATACAAGAACCCCCGCTTTACTGCAGACCTCATCACTGCGAATTCTCTCGTGCAGCCGAGCCTTGTACCCACGGCCACCTCTGTCTGCATTTCGGCGCGCCCGTCTCCCACCCCGCGCAGGCGGACCCGCCCCCTGGGGGCGCTGCGAGATGGCGACGCCTCCGGCCGCCATCGCCCCCCGCCCCGCCTCCCGCTGCCGGCCCGGCACGCCCCTCGGGGGCCCGGCTCGGGGGCGGTGCCGCCGCCGCGTTGGTTCCTGCTTCCCGGGCAGCCCGGGGGATGCGCGGTGCTGCCGGGCACCCGCACGTCTGTCCTCCCGCAGCGGCGGTGCCCATGGCGGCGGAGCCGCAGCCCAAAGCTCTGACCCGCAAGCCCCTCCTGCTCAATAAAGTGGAGGGCTCGCAGGAGGTGGTGAACATGGCAGCGATCGTGCCCAAGGAGGACGGGGTCATCAGCGTCTCCGAGGACAGGTAGCGGGCGGGCGGGCTGCGGCGGGGGCTCCTGGCCGCAGCGAGGCGGCTGCGGGCACGGCGCGGGGATCGCTGCTTGACCTTGCTTGGGACTGGGCTGAAACAGCGCTTCCAGTTCCCCTTTCCCTGCTCCGTGTTTCTCGGTAGTTGCTTAAAATACCGCATCTCGTTGATAAGATCTTGAGCTCAGTTCCAAGGAGCGCTGCTCGGGGCCCCCGAGCCGTGCGCTGCGGGGTGAGCGTGTCCCAGGCTGCTCGGCAGCGCTTCGTCCTCTCCTGAGCCGGGGCTGAATTCAGCCCTCAGCGGTGTCAGCGCTGAACTCACGAGGTGCCGGCCTTCAAAGCACGAGCTCATTTTTTCTTACAGAGCCCACGAATAAGTATTTTAACCGGAATTTCTTTACAGCTCGGGTACTCGTAACTCTGCCCCCAGCTGTCTGCTTGAAAGGCCGATGCTGGCCGATGTGTTGTGATTCCCAAGGGTCAGCTTGGACTGTTTGTCTCTGCCTGTTGTCCTGCAGAGTGACTGCTGTTATTTCTCTTTTAGCTTTCCCAAAATCTGTCACTATCTCTTATCTTGTCACTGTCCTCTCTGTGCATTGATTTCCAGCCAGTTGTCAGATACGTGAACCATGCCAATGTGAGATGGCTTAAGTTCATCCAAGCCGCGGTTTCCAAGTGAGCTGCCATGCCTCATAGCAAGGGGAGAAGAGCTGCTTCAAACAAGTGCTCTGCAAAGGGGACTCAATGCAGAGTTTTATAGCGCTACATGGCCGCAATTCTATTTTCTTTATATGTTTTACCTACTTGTTGTGAAGCTGAACGGTGCTTACTCAGCCAAATCGTTTTATTTGTAAGAAAGCGTTCCTAAAATGAATTTACTCTTGTTTGGGACTCTCACTCAATCTTTCCCCCTGTCTTAGTATCTAGTTTCTGTTATTTTAGCAGCTATGGTTTGTGGAAAACAACTTGGTGTTCCAAGTCTGTGTTTCTTTGCACAGGAAGGGTTTAGTGAGAGGTCTGTACTTCATGAATACCAAAGATACCAGGTTCAAGAAAGCAGCGGTGAAGCAGAACCTGGGGGTTTCTCTCTCCAAACTGGCTGGTTCAGTGGGAGAACCCCCCTCTCCCTCCCACCTCCAACCCCTAACAAAGGCCAGATGAAACCTGCAAAGAACTCTGCTGGTGAATGTGCTGCCAGATGCTTGGCTGAAGCTTTGCTGATCCAGGGTAACTCCATCAAAGCAAGAGGTACCGTGTTGACTCTGGAGGCTCACAGGGTGTTTAGTTTAAAGGCTCTACCAAGGTAAAGTGCTTGCCTGTGGGCCTGGGTTGTGGTGTCTTTGAGGTGCTACAAGCTGTGATCATACCTTTTCTTTCTTTAGGCATACAGATGTTCATTGATGGCTCTTTCTTTCATTTCCCATTTATGTTAGCATTTTTATTGTAATTAGAAGATTCAGAGATTAAACCTTGGAAGGAAGAGCAGTTTGGGAATCCAACCTGGAGGCTTCAGGGTACCTAGGGCTGGAGCACAGTTTACCAGGCTCTTAACATCACTGCTTTTGCAGATCCTTCCTGTTTGGACCTGTCTGCTGGTGTTAATGTTAAGGCTGTTGTTTCATGGCCTTGGAATGTGGAGGGCTTTGAGAGATTCCTGGAAACTGCAAGGGCCGGTTGTGGAGATGTTATCTGTCTCTGAGGGAAATAAGTGAGTTTTGGCTGAGCTCACCAGCTTGTGATATGCATTGGTCGTATGAGGGGGATGCTCTGAAACTTTTGCCGAGGACTAGCTGGAGGGATGGACTGTTTACTGATGCTGGTTTGGGCTGGGCAGCACAGTGGAGACACTTCTCCTCTGTTCAGTAGCTAGCAGCTGGATACATCGATGCTGAAGTTAGGCTTCAACATACACAACAGCTAGACACTGCTTTAAGGAGTTCCTTAGTGTATCGTACAGTTCTATAACTGTAAACCCTTCAAAGCAGGAACTTGGTCTCCAGTTTGTATTTTGTGTGGTATCAGTGGTTTTATCTGTTTTTTAAAGACTGTGGAAGTGGTTTCAGCTATAGCTTGCAGACATAGCTGTACATGATATAGCCCTGAATTGCTTGTGTCTGTAGCACGTTTTCAGGAATAAAATGAAAACTAAGTAATAATGCAGAGTATGGGGGTTCTTCAAAAAGAAAGGCATGGATGGGAAAACAGGTAATCTCAAGGGGGGTTGATTAAGACTATCTGAACTTGACATAATCTGCGAAGTTAATTTCTTTTCAGTGTGCATCATCTGTGTATGTATTTTTTCTTCTGACTCCTAGTTGGAGTCACATGAGTTACACAGTGTGCAATGTCTTCTGATCTTAATTGCTACTGCTCATTCCTTACTAGGGCAAAGTAGGTTGGGCCTGTATCTCTTTGCTAGACAATTACATTGGAATAATACGCAATTTTATTTTGCAAGAGAATGCACCTGTCTAGGAAGGTGAAAGTTAAATGAGCAGCAGCATTCATTGTCCAAGAATATATATATCTGATGCAGGTGAGCTATAAGGAGGAGATGAGCTTTCATCTGTGCTCTTTTCCTTGTCAGCAAATGGGTGGAATTAACAGACACATATATCCAAACAGACACATACATCTTGAGGGATCGGTAGTACTGAGTGCCCTCAGTTCTCCACGTGGAGCTAAATGGGATTCTCCTAATGTGCACAGCTGGCCCGAGGCTGTCACCAGCTTCCTCAGTTAAAAGCATGCACTGCCATTTCAAAACTGGTGTGAGTCCTTGTCTTTTGTTGACTTCATAGGGAGCTGTGGGTGTTGGGCACTTCTGCAAAGTAGGTCACTGGCATGTCAAGCTGGGACACATCTCCTTCGTGCTCTGGAGATTTAGTATCACTAATCTCACCTGAGCATGGGGATGGGGCGGGAGGAGCATCCCGACTCACCCAGTTCTCACTGCCAACAAGGGCTTGGCACTGCCGTGCTTCTGTGACTCCTTGAGCCTGTCAGGGATGTGACTGTTAATTCAGCTGGGTGTTGGTGTGCTGATGCCGTGGCAGGAGGGGCTGGAGGCCACCAGCTTTCTTTTTGTAGTACTACCAGCTATACTGTAGGGGAGAAAAGCTTAGAAGTGTGCTGAAGCCGACAGCTTTCCTGATAAATATGAACTCTGGTCTGTGCCCTCTTAGGTGTGCCAACTTCCATGCTACAGACCTTGAACACATCAGTGTTGCAGGCAAGAGTTGTTTTCCTTAAAGTATTCATGGGAAGTAAAAGTTTCCATAGTTCACAATAGAAAATTGTTGAAACCCCTTCTAGTTTATTCTCAAAAACAAGCGCTCTAGTCTTCTAGAAGGAGACAAAATCCAAGAGTAAACTGCATGCCTTAGGAAATAGTTCTGTATTTTTTAAAAAAGGGAACAGAAACTTCTGCCTTTTCCACTCTCTTCTGTCATCTGAAGTCCTTTTGTTCTGAGATGTCTCGGCTTTGTGTGGTTCAATGTTTGGACATAAGTGGCAGCCCCAGCTGTTGTTCATGTACATTCATATTCATGTCTTTGTCTCACATGGAGAAAACTGTACAGAATTCTATTCCTTGGTTTGTTTTGCAGGTTGGGGTTTTTAAATGCAGACTTTGTTTTTTGGGGTTTGTCTTCTGGGCATGTTAATCGACAGGGTTTTTAAGGGGTACAAAAGTGAGTGAGTCTCCTGTAGCTGAAGTCTGGGACTTTGATAAACTAATAGTGCGCTGGGGATGGGAATGTGCATACATGACAGAAATCATGGAAGTTGGCTTTTGCATCTGCTGACAGTCATTCTAACAGGGTGAAGTGTGCTCTTTCCACTCTGAAATACCTCAAAAGCAGTCTTTTGTTCCTTGTGATTCTTTTCTTGTCCAGATCCAGGATAAGCATTGTAGTTCATTCCCAAGTGAGATGGGATCATCACTCTGCAGCAAGGCAAGATGTGACGAACCGCATGCTCCCCAAAACTTTCTGGATTTCTCTTCTGTGCTGGAGTGATGCAGAGCAATTTCTTCATAGAGCAGTGATTGCGACATGAATTTGTAATTCTCATCTAAACACAGAGTTATTCCACAAAAAGCCATTCTGCTTTGTGGCTGTTGGCTTGCAGCAGAAGTGCAGGTGGTATGAGAACAGATTTCGGTGGTGGCTGTTTGTGCATTGATCAGTACAAGCCTGTAATTTCACACCCAGGCTATTGCAGTATGAGTAGCAGTACAGAAGTTGTGGATGCTCTTTAGAAGTGTAAGAAGACTCGTCTGTGCTGGAGGTTCTTTAAATTTTGATTAAGAACATCAGTTGCTGATGGAATTACTGAGAGGAAATGGAGGAACCCTTCATAAACAACATAAGGGTATGAGGCCTGTTGTTGCAGATGCAACTTGTTTGCTCAGGGTTTATGTTTCTCTTTTTCAACTATTTGGATGTGTTGCAAGTGGATGACTGTGTTTGGAACCAAGCTGGGGGTGGAGGATAGTGCTGGCTGCTCAAGTGAAAGAAGTGGATTGTTGGCAAGAGGCTTGAGAGAAGGCCCAAAAGCCTCACGGAATCAGAACTTGTTCCAGATGTTGAAAAGCGACTGTTCCTGATTTCACTAACATGTATCCTGTTGAGATGCCAAAATGCTGGGGCTGGTACATAAATGTTTCGCTGGGTACTTGCTGGAATGATATACCTTCCTCAGCAGTTTGTGGGGTACTGAGTGATTTTGCTTTCTGCCGTCAAGAGATGATTTACTGAAGGCTGACAAAGCCTGTGTTTACCTTGCCTTCTGGTACTCTCCACTGAGCACTTAGTGTCACTTAAAGATTTAAAGCACAAGGACTCAGCCTTGTCTCTCTGATTTTTCACTCTCTTGCTACTGCTGGCTCATGTAGGTCAGTGCACAAATGGATGCAGCTCCTGCAGCTGTATTAAGTTCATGTCTTAACTGCAAGGTGGCAGCTGCAAAAATATGATATGACAGCATGGCTTGGAC